CAGAGTTTTGTAAGTGAGTTCTCATTACCTTAAAAAGCCAATGCTGAGTTAATGAACTAATGAAATTGTAGCAACTGATAACAACTGTTACTAGGGCTCAAAGGGCTGCAGTGAATGGGACTACATCTGGCTGGCAAGTGGTTACAAGCAGTGTTCCTCAGGGCTGGCTTTTAGGGCCAGTTCTGTTCAATATTTTGATCAATGAGCTGGATGCAGGGGTTGAATGCACCATTAGCAAGTTTGCTGATGATACCAAACTGGGAGGTGCTGTTGACTCTCTCGAGGGACAAGTGGCCTTGCAGAGGGATCTAGATAGACTGGAGCACTGGGAAATCATCAATGGCATGAAATTTAACAAGAAAAAAGGCTGGAGAGCAGCGCTGCAGAAAGGGATCTGGGGGTGCTGGTTGACAGCAGGCTCGATAGGAGAATAGGAGTCAGCAGTGTGCTCTGGTAGCCAAGAGGGTAAACCGCATCCTGGGGTGCATCAAACACAGTATGACCAGCCAGTCAAAAGAGGTGATCATCCCACTGTATTCAGCGTTAGTGTGGCCTCACCTTGAGTACTGTGTGCAGTTCCAGGCCCCACAATTTCAAAAGGATGTGAAGGTCCTTGAATGCGTCCAGAGGAGGGCACCAAAGCTGGTGAAGGGGCTGGAAGGCATGTCCTGTGAGGAGAGGCTGAGGACACTAGGTTTGTCCAGTTTGGCAAAAAGGAGACCTCATTGCTCTCTCCAGCTTCCTGCGGAGGGGAAGTGGAGAGGGAGGTGCTGATCTCTTCTCCTTGGTATCCAGTGCCAGGATGCGTTGGAATGGCTCAAAGCTGCATCAGCCAGGGGAGCTTCAGACTTGACATAAGGAAACATTTATTTACCAAGATGATGGTAAAACACTGGAACAGGCTTCCTAGAGAGGTGGTCAATGACCCATGCCTGTCAGTGTTGAAGAGGTCTTTGGACTTCTGGTCAGCCCTGAAGTGGTCAGGCAGTTGGACTAGATGATCATTGTAGGTCCTTTGCAACTGAACTATTCTGTTTTATTGTATTCTGTTCTTATGTATGGTTGAGAAATATCTTACCTGCGCAGTGCATCTGTACACTAATTTAGCTTTGCAGTAAGGTTCTTAACAGAACTGCTTAGATAACATAGGGACTTATCTTGTGCAGCATAAGCAGAGAATATGTTCTGCCTTTGTTGTATTCCTTAGAGAAGAGAAAGCAAGAGAAAACATACCATGAACCACCGAATCCTTAAAGTTTACAATGATTACATGACAATCCTCAGTTCATATATTGAGCTCCTATGCCAGTTTGCAAAAGAGAAAAAGGGAAACTTTCAAACCTGAGAAGAACAAAGGTCATACCCTAAATACTTTTTTTCCTCAGTGAGATTGCTATAGCATTCAAGCAAGAATGTGTCAGACTGCAAAATTCACAACATCAATACTTGATTTTCTTCTACAATAAAATCTGCAAGTCAGTGAAGTGTGGGGAAGACAATGTTTGTTTGTTTGTTTGTTTGTTTTTTACAGAAGGTACAGCAGGTTCTTTAGTTTTGAAAGAGAAACAAGAGCCTTCAAAGTCAACACAACTTGGAAAAAAAATCACTCAGGGTTTAGGGAAGTATCACTTTTAAAATAGGTGAAAGTAAAAGTAGTTGGTACCCATGTATTGAATGTGCAAGTTGAGGAGGGTGTTTCTTGGGGCAAGGGTTAGACATGAGAAGTAATTTACAGCTTGTGTGAAAAGGAAATGTTAACAAGGAAGAAAGGGAGCATACTGTGTCATGCCACCAATATTTCTACTGATGTCTATAATTTTTGATAATCCAGTACAGCTATGATTTTTAGCTCCCACCTTTATCTTTGGAAGAGGTTTTCTAGAGAATTAGGAGACAGAAGAGAGAGCGCACCTGTTTTCTGACAAATTTAATAGGTGGATGTTTTTATCCACTGTTTATACAAATTAATTCTGTTGAATGGTAGTTGTGTGTCAGCTACAACTGTGATGAACTGGCGCAAGCACATAAAGTAAAATCACAGGTGCAGGATCCAAGGATGTCCATATTGATGGATAAGTTACTGCTAGTAGGGAGGGGGAGGTGGATTTGTGGGTGGCCTTTGGCAAGGTTCACATTTCCTTAATAGTCTAGATTAATCTTCAGTATATTAGAATCATAGAATGGTTGAAGTTGGAAGTTCCTTCCAGCCTCAGCCAAAAAGTGGTATTTTGTCTCACTAGGCAGAATCTGTTTCTTATGGTTAGACAACATCTGGAGCTTGAGGACTGCAAATAATTCAGTATAGGCTACAATTTCCTAGCAACTTCCTACAAAGATGGTCACATGAGGTTCTGTTCTGTACAAATAGGGTTCTGATATATGTGGTCAGTGAGGAGCTTTTGTTTCATCCTGAAGTAATTGTATTTTGGTGGATATTTTAAAAATGGTTGAAATCATTTGGTGCATAATAGATTTCCTTAGCTTGCTGAGATGGATGTTAGAAATATTTTCACAAAGCAAGTTTCTTGATGTCTAATGGCCTGTCTGTATAGTGTTTTAGGTATGAACTGAATAGTTGTTTCTAGAGAAGTGGGTGTATTGTCCATGAATTTTCCATTGAATATAAGGTTGTGGTGGTCGTTGGGTTTTGTTTGTTTGTTTGATACTGGCCCTAGACTCTGGGAAAACATTGCTTTAGGAATAGAAGCTGAAGCACTTTGACAGAGAGGCAATGTTTATTGAATTAATGGCGAAAATCCAGAAGGGAATGGATGTCTTGAATTTCATACCTTACCTCTTCTTCCAACTCACAAAAACATGGTTTCCAATAACAAACACTTACTTCAGACTATGGGCAGAGATATGCCAAGCTTTCAGAATATAGCTTCAAAGTTCCTTGAAGAGGAAATTAAGTATGTATTTTTTTTAAAATCCCACAAGTCCATGCTATACCTATGATACACAAATGACATCTTTAGTATAAAACTGGCCTTATTTATTGACTTCATCCTGAAATGCAATAAGCTAAACTAGACTCCCCATCCAAAAGTCAGGTGCTTGAGGAATACTGAGGGAATCTATCCTCTTCTTGTAGCAGGGGTGCATGGGTTAGTTTCTAATATTTTTACCAAGCAGTCCAGTACTTTCCATCTTTATAAGAACATTAACTTAACAGAAAACTTTGAAACTCTTTTTTAGATTATTCATTATCATGTCAAATTGAAGTTTCATATCACTGTTATCTTTGGTGGAATCCAATTTTCATAAAGTGAAATTTCATTATGACTTTCAGCTTTACAGTTTAAAATATAACAAAAAGTAGGACTACCTCACAATATAATGTACACTATATAGTAAAGAATATACACTATATAGTAAAGAATTTTTTGAAGCATTCATGCAGCTTAACAGGAGTTTTGCTATTTCCCTGCTGTCTCCATCAGAAGATACAGACTAGAGGAGGTCAAAACTATTGACAATTTATTTGGCTAGGGCAATACCTCTCAAGTAGGTGATTGTGAGATAACCAAAGTAGCTTCATTAACTTTTACATAAAGTGACAGGGAACTGCCAAAAATAACTCCCATAGCCCTCAGATAAAAATCCAAAATGCTTCATAGTCCAATTTAGCCCTAAGAATGAAGCAGTTCTCCAAACACACTGGTCTTGTGACCTTTTTTAGCAGTATATTTGTCAATGGTCATGTGCTGCTTTAGCATCATGTAGCACAGATATTTTTAGCACCTTATTGTCCGAGATTATTTCTTACAGAATTACTACTTTTTCAACCACTGAGTGCCCAGTGTTGCTGGCACTAAAATGTTCAAGACAGGGATAAACTTGCTATTTCTCAAAAGTTTCTGTTCATTCTTTATGAAATCTTTCTAATGTTTACTAATCCTTGTATTTGAATGGAGCAGTAACAGCAGCAGGAGCACTAACAGATACAGCACTCACTTTTTTTCAGCATTTTTATCCACAGGTCAAGCCTTCTCTGAGCAGTTGACATGTACTTGGGAGTCATTACATTACATTACAACCTTTGATGATACAATTTATATCAGAAAATTCTGCTAGGACAGAAAACTTAAGGAAGACAGCAAGCTTTTGGATTGCACTTTTCCATTCTACGCTTGCACTGCTTAAAGCTAACCAAAAGTGAATGTTTATATTCAGAATAGGTTATAACTTATGAAAATTTTTCCTTTTCCTGTTTGAGTAGTGGTTGACAACACCAGCATTTTAAGTTAATACTTAATTCCTGTGCTGATGCGAAAACTGAGCATTCTGTACTTCAGAAGCACCATTCCCAGGTAAACACAAAAATACATTACTAAAGTAGTTACACAGGTCAGCTACACTTTTCTGTTTTGTTTTGTTTTGGGGAGGGGGAAGGAATTTTGGAACACTAACGTTTTCAGGTCCACATCTAAATCTGCAATTCTAGAGACACCTACCTAGCCTATTTAGCTCCTCTCCTCCTATCCTTTCAACACACAGTGCAAACAGTTGGTACCTGATGTAATGCTGTTCCTGTGCACGGTCATGAAAATCAAAGGAACAGCAGCACACTGCTATTCACTTACATATCTGTTGATTTGGACTTCCTTCACCAACCATTTAACACGCTATTCCATTCACAGAGAAAGTGGCCAAGTAATATGAGCAGCCATAAAAGAGACCTCATTAGAAAAGGAAAATTATTGAAGAGAAGAAATTGCCTGCCAGCCTGGAAACTAGGTCTGTGAACCAGAGGCATCCTTGAAAAGTGCAGCTGGAATCTTTGAAGCATAGCTGTGTACTTGAAGCCAGAGATGGCCTAAGATCAATAAGTGCAACAAACAATGAACTGTATTGGCAACTTATCATCCGAAAAGGTGAAAAATAGTCTGGAAATAGTCATTAGAAGCCCTTCATAGTTTCCATCACACTATGGAAGCTGGTCAGAGGGCAGACTTGTGTATTTTTTATTTCCCTTCTTATTATTTGTATTTGTTTACAGGCATTTGAAACTGATGGGTAGCTGCCACTTCAGAAATCTTAGAAAAGGCATCATTGAGCATAAATACTACTGGAATATTAGTGAGGCAGTATTGTCAACGGGTCCACTTTTTGTCCTGCATTGTATATTTTGTTGCCTAAGACAGGCAATTTTGAAAACGTGTTAGAATTTTAGCTTTCACAAAAGCATCAAAGGAATTGATCCTCTTTCTTTACTGAACTTTGTGTTTAATGATAATTCTCAAAAATTAAGATTTCTTATAACATAAAACTGTAAGTAACAGAATGGAAATAAAAGATAAAATGAAGTTAAATTTGCTTTTAAAATCTTACAGCATTTTGAGTTCTGGTCCATGATTTTAAATAGCCATAGCTGGCACTATCGATCAACTGCATAGCTCCAGCTTGATACAAATCAGAAAGACAGGGAACACAAGGCAGGATTAAATCAATATCTGGCTGCACTTGCAAAGTATAAGGTAACTTTATATGCTTAGGTAACTGTAGCATTAGTCCTTCTTCTCTAATAGCAGAATGCCAAGTCCCACACACATGGAAAAAGGAAGAAAGAGCAGGCTGAAACCATAATCAGCACTGCTGGGGCAGAAGAGATGCAGGAATCCTTCTGAGAGATGGCACACATCCTTGTTGCAGTAAGCAGGGCAACACCAAAATGCTACAGCTTGGCCTGTATTTAAAACCAACAGTAACAACCATAATTAAGAAAGAAACTCAATAGACAAAAGTAGGATATCTGAGAGCTATGGACAGGCTTTCCACAAAGGAGCACCTGTCACCACAGCAAAGGTAATTGCATAGAGCTGGTCTGAAGTTCTTCAGAACTTGGAACAAGTTGGCTCTAAAGTTGGAAATTGTGTGATTTAAAAGAGGAAAAAATACCTGATTCCATTCCAAAAGGGTAAAAATCCCTCCTCACCCAAAATATGACATTTTCTCCTAGCAAGTTCTGAGGTAAATACAGTTTTGTGTCAATAAAATACTGTTGTCATGTACTAGCAGTGTTTTAATGTAGTTCAGCCTTTTGGATTCAGTACTATTCAAAGTACTGATATACCTGTTATGCATTTTAGTTAATACTGTATTTCATGAAATAAAATTTTAACATGCAACTGTAAACAATAAAACTTTTGCCTCAATCCTATCAAAATGCATTTTAGAAGATCACAAAACTTTGAAAATGTCTGCATGCTTCTGCAGAGCAGCTGGCTTCCCAGGAACAGGATCCAAATCCTTTCTGCACATGGATCAATGTGCTCCAACTGTTTGTCAGTCATTCACAGCTATTCTGCATGAAGTGATGCATGTGCACCACTTCTATAATGCAACGCACTCCATACTCCAGGCTCAAAGGGAATATTTGAAATAGACATAGGGCTGATCCTCACTGGGCACTAAAACTATGGCCTCTACATACTCCTCCTGGCCCAGAGAGTCATAAATAGCATATATATGTAAAACTGAAAATGGAAGACAGGCAGGAGTTTGTGGGAAACAGAAGGAGGAAATAAAATAAAGGGGTGGACCAAGACTGACTTTAGGCAAGGAGAAAGCAGAGATAGCTGCATAGGCAGCAGTCTTCATAAGGCATCTAAATATTGTGAAATAAGAGCTGATCTATGAACGAGCTGTCTATTTTGTGTGTACTGAAACAGGCAGGGACTGGCTGTTGTAGCACAACATGCTTCCAAAATGGCCAACTTTCACCTCCAGGTACAACCTGTTAGCTAGCCTTGCTGCCAGGGTGGAGGAATCACTACACATAGGTTTGCAGCTACTGTACACAGAATGTCCTCTCCCAGCAACAGGAAGTGCCACTACTCATCCCAAAGGAGTAGATAGATCCTTGGACTAGCTAAATTCAAACCACTTACGTCTGGCTGAGAAGTCATGGGTCAAGTCTAGGATGGAAAGAACGGCAAGGTCAGAGGGAGGGAACGGTAAAGAGTAGAGATGAGGACAAGGGAGCATGTGGAACTCTGTCCAAATATTAGCAAGACCATATGGAACCCAATTCTGGCTTTTTTCCAAATCACAGCTGCTTGGCTTGGCAACTTAGATTACTTCTATTTTTTTTTTTTAGCGCTCTGTAAACATAAACAGATCTCATCCATTCACTTTCAATTTTACCATGATATGTTTAATCAGTAAAACATGTTAGAAGGAAGAACATAAGCTAAGAAGACATCAAAAAAACATTTAAATGCATGCTGTGGAACCTGTAAGCTCTGCTTAGTACTCAGTCCATTAATTTTTTTTTTTTTTTTTTTTTTTTTTTGTAAACTAGGTTAGTAGTTGCTTGCATATTCTTATTGTGGATAAACAGAAAGCTTCACAAACCAGCACTGCCTAAATGAAGAAAGTTTCTTCCTTACCCTCAGATGATGAGATCCAGTATTATTTCAAGTAATTTTATCCTTTGTTATCTTAATAATCCTTTTTATTATCTTTTATCCTTTGTTATCTTAATAATGATCTTTAATACTACAATGATAGCTCAACTCCTGCTACAACATTCACTTTCAGTGCTATTTAATCAAGTTTTCATGAACTGTTACAAGTATATTTAATGGCAGAGTGCTGGGCATTAACCTGAACATCTTTTTTTTTTTAATCACCTAGTAGCTAACCCAAGTCTCTAGTCCTACATCAAGCAGTTTGGGCTCTGGTAGAGTTGACAGAGGCTGTTAGCAGAGGTCTCAAATTGGCTGACAATAGGTAAGATTTGCTAATATCTTTCTCTTCGGTCTGTCCGCAGTATTACAGGTGAGAAGCTGAGTAGACTATGACACTTGCCTACTACCCAGGGATTCCTCCCCCATTATAGTACTCTCCCCCGATTTGTTTTGTGGCCCTGCTGCTGCATCCCAACACCCTGTTGGCCCCTTTACCCACGTTCCAACACAGTGTGTGTGGGGGTCTAGGATTCTGTTTACTCTGTCACTCAAATACATTTCTTGCACTGGAGCTTGCCAAATAAATGTGATTCTTCCAGGCACTGCTTGTAATTCTGTAGCAGAACAATACACAGTCCTGGCAGAAGATGGCAGTATTTTATGCAGATGAACTTCTAGTTACTCAGCAACCCGCCTTGTCCCTTTTCCACATTTTTGAAATTGGCACTGGATTCATTTTTCTATGTGTGTTTTTGAAACTAGTCTTTTTTGCATTACCACTGTCCTAGACTTTAAAACAGCTGAAAGCAGCAGGGTACACTCTACCAGCCAAGAAGCTGATTCAACAAAGGGAGCAGCTTGAGGCACTTACCTGCTGACACCACAAGCGTGGCTGTGCAGCACGGTCCTGGTATGCCTTTGTAAAATACACTTTGCAAGAGCTTCAGCAGAATCCTTATAGGCTGCTTTATATTGCTGGGGGAAATGGGGGGAAATCCCCTGCTGTCAGCCAACAATTTGGTTTGCTGGCTCCTCAGTATGGAACTTTACTCCTCACCAGCACAATGTGTTAGACAAACTCTGTAATTCCCCATGCAAAAGGAGGTTTATCATGCTTGCCTCTGCAGAAGAAAGAGAGGCACAGGGACATGAAGGCTGTTATACATCCCCCACTATTGGGAACGTACTGGATAAAACACAGACTGGTGAATTTGGAAGGCCAACAGCAAAAACAAAAGTTGGATTATGGAGCCATAGGTGCAGTCTTTGGGACATCCTGCTGGACTTGGGAAAGGACTTTCCTGGCTTTTCTGTAGGGCTACAAGCCTCACTGCCAAATCCAGAGGAAACTGTATAAGAAATCAGCCAAGCTTAGACACCTATTGTTTTACTGAGAAACAAAGTGTTTTTGTGTAAAATAATAAGCTATTAAGAATCCTCCCCTCTTTTGAGAGCAAGCAGTGCTTATGCAAGGTGTATGCAATAGATAAAGCATAGCTAAAATACCTCAGATGATCAGAGGCTATTCAAAGAGAAGTAAATTCAGCCAAGAAATTAAAGAAAACTCAAGACTGATCAATGAAGGCACAGTTCTAGAGAAGACTAAATTAACTTCTGATTTGACAAAGCATCTCATCACCACTATGTTACACCTTTAACTCATTTTGTTTAGAGAAGTAGTGAACTTTTCTAAAGTCTCTTTGAAGGACTTGATCAAGTAAGCTCCCAGTTCATTTTTTGTCTCCTGAACAGCTGCATCATAACTGCCAAAGAGTGGAGTTGAAGCCTTCACATCCTCCCTATTTGCCTGGAGTAAAATGAGGTTAAGATCCTCTGCTACACTTTCGTATTTTTGATGATCAAATCTGCAGAGACTGGCATCATCGATCGGGTAGGTGATGCCAATAGGGTAGCAGTCCCTTGGAACTGGGAACTCCACATTTTTCAACATTGGCAACTCACAGAGAAATGTGAAAAGGTGTTTAAGTGCTTGGGATGACAGTGGGTTTCCAAGAAACTTAAACTCCTGTAGTTTCTGACAAGGGCTTAAACCTAAAATCAGCATGTTGACATGAGTGTCTTGGATGTTACAGTCCTCCAAGGTGAGACTCCTGAGCACTGAAGAGGAATGGCTGAGAAGTTTAAAGAATATTGATGGGTAAAGGTCAAGTATCTTGTGACCACTCAGGTCCAGGGCTTCTAAGTGATTAGCATGGAAGCTATTGGCTAAATAGGCCATATCAGCATGGTTCAATGAGCAGTTAGAAACATCCAGCATCTTCAGCGGAGTTTTTAGTGGGCTGCAGAATTAAAGAGAAAAAAGTTTTATGGCATAAAACATTGAAAAGCTACATTTACAAATTTTCATACAACTATCCACATTATGAATGCAGCCATCTGCCACATTAATTATTTTTTCCAACCTCTTTTGAGAAACAGAAGCACGTGCTAACAATGACAAGTATATTTTCCTCCTGAAGTCAGTTCCATGAATTAGTTCCTACTTTACATTACTCCAACTGTGTTGTTTTAATGGGGATTAATTTGGTAACATTCTATGTGTCTATTTTGTAACCTGTTATATGTTGTCAGGTGTCTATTACTTGCTGAATTAATAGCAGATCATTACTACCATAAAAGCATTGGTGACTGCTTCTTGTAGAAAGCTATTATAATTCCAGAGATTTGTATCATTGCCATTAAGGAAGGATTAATTCCAAGATGAAAGCCCATAGATATTGTAACAAGACATCTGCTTTTGTTTCTAGTTTTGTTTCTACTATGTTTTTAAATGCCCAAGAGGTTTACACGTTGTATTGTCCTGGAGTTGCAAAGAAACCTTCTGATGAAGAAGAAGGTTGGAAGAAGTATACATGAGATTATGTGCAAATATTCTGGTTGAATATAAAATAGTTCTGACAGACAAAAATCAAGAGATCCCTTTTCATACATACTAAAGCTTAGTGAGACTTCTGCCATAGACCTCAGCTGGATCAAGGTTAGAAACTTGTAATTTAATTCTATCAATATAAGCAGTGTGTCATTCACAACTTCTAAATGAAATGATTTCTTTGTACAGGAGGAATTTTAGACAAAGGTGATTTTTCTCAATGACACTTTTGTCTGCCTTTTTTTTAGATGCTCTGAAAAGCATACAGTTACCTTATTTTCTGTTCAAGTATGAACACTGTTCACTGGCAGCTTGTTATCTTTTTGAGAATTGCCAATTTTTCCCAGGAATTCATCATGAATATTCATATATTAGCTTAATTTGCAGTACAGAAAAGCATTAGAACTCTCTTGCCTTGAGATCAACAGACACAACAAACAACTGAAATCAAAGTCTCAAATCAGAGTCTACTATCCCCTTGCCCACCTAAAAATACAGTATCTGTGGAACCATAGTATATTTACTGCCTGTTTTTTAGAGGACAAAAATTCACTAGAGAGCCTAAAAAATACTTGGAATATGACTCAGGTCTTGCACCAAAGGCCAGCCCAGGCTGATTGAGATATAAGCTCAAGAATGCGGCAAATCAAAAATGTCTGGGTGTACCCTTCTCTTATGCAGTAGCCAAAAGTATATTCTCACCATACTCATCAGATGAGCTCTGGAAGAATAATAACAGTCACATCTTCTAAGTGTATTAGATATACATTGTCTTCCAATTCTCCCCAACAAATACTCTTTCCTAGCTTCCTGCTGCCCCTTCTCACACACACCCTGCGATATACTCACTTCCCTTATTCTCAGAGATTCTCAGCTTGCTGATGGCACAAAGGGCTGTTCTTTACAGTTTGATGGAAAGCAGGATGACCAAATTACCTGAGCAGTTTCTGTATTCTTCCTGTGAGTATAGAAAATGGCATACTCAGCTCGGTCAGCTGCGTCATTTCACCCATCTTTTCTCCAATGTTAGTAAGCACCCGTTCATCTGTAGCTGTGAACCTCTGCACATTAAATGTTCGTGCTGGCAAGGTCAAGGACATCAATAGAGGGAAGTGGATACTGTTGAAGAGTATTTCCAAGTGTTCCATTTCCAAGCGAACATTGTGAACTATTTCCAGTTTGCGCAACAAAGAGGGATCAGTGAGCTTTATGATATAGAAGAATTTCTGCAAAGCCAGGTTGTCAGATCTGAATGACACACAGCAGATCTTCAGTGGACAATAGCATTTCTTCAACAGAGCCTGCATTACCAGCTCATAGTTCCGCTCTGTAACAAACAAGTCAATTAGCACATCAACACTGATTTCAAAGGCGCCTGGATTGCACTGTGTTTGTTGCAGGTAAACCAGCAGTTCTAAACAAAGCTTAGAGAGCAGCTGTGTCCTGGCCCACCTGCCCATTGTCTTCTTACACTCACAAAACTGAACTTCAACATCTTTTATACCTGTCAGGTCCACCACTTTCAACCTTTTCACGTAGGGAGAAGGATGATTCAGCACATAGTCTCTCAGTCCTGTCAGACAGCTTTCCAAGCACACTGAGCATGTTCTACAGCTCAGGTCTTCCTGGTAGTCCACAGTAGTTCCCAAAAGTTTTCCCATGTTAAAGTCAACAAGTGGCCAGTTCTCTACCAAGTCATGAATCACTTCCCTTTGCTCCAATAAATAGCTGGCTTTAAAAAGAAGAGGAAAAAGATTATGGGCAACACCGCCGAGACTCTTCCTGGCAAACTCTGCATTTGACACAAATGCTTCAGCACTAATGAATCGGAGAGACTTCATTGTTGCTTTGGACTCCTAGCCGTCATGGAGAGTGACTTCTGTGTAAGATCCTAGTTGCTTATCACCTTCTATTTTTATCTGCAGCTGCTGTTCGCTGCTAATGGAAGCCTTGCTGGGAAGGCAGAACGAACAGTCACATGCTGATCCTCTGCTTTCTATTTTGGAGCTATACTGTGATTCTGCAGTAATTAACTGTGAGATCTTTAGTCAGAGAGTATTTACTCATTTAAATCCTCATATTTATAATAAAGCTAACTTAGCTAAGTACAGACCACTGCCCAGCAGGAACAGTAAGATCAGGGCAGCACACATACATGAGAATATTTCTGTATCTTTCCTATGCCACACAAAAAGGCACTCAGGGTTCCAACCTAAACACGTAACATGATCTGTATTCCACTTTCTTCCACGAAAGACGATATGCTGTGGATTCACAGGCTGGTTTCAATGGGGAAGACTTCTCAGAGTTAGCATAGAGCTTCTCTTAAAAACTATAGCCATGAGGAAAAACTGAGGTGCTACAGTCATTGAGCTACACAATGTCCCTCCATTTTGCCCTTCCTATCAGCAAGGAATAGTTAAATACAGTGGCTCCAGTGGAAAAGACAAAAGACTCTAGAAGAGCTCAGAGCCTTGGTGACCAGGACACTTGCCTGTGATAGGAAACTGAGGTTTAAATACAAGACAAGCTGAACAAGACAGAGAAAAACTTACAGATGCTAATACCAAATGTAACATGGAAAAAAGTATTAAATTTACTGTTTCTTTTAAAACAATTATGAAAAAGAGTTGAAGGAAAGAGTCAAACTGTCTTCCCCGGCAAATAAGCAATAACTTTTTTGTATATAGAAGCAGGTACAAATATTTATTTCAGTTTTTCACCTCTACAAATGTTGCTTTATTCTAATAAAAATCTAGGACATTATTAGAGCAGTTTGTCTTGGAGCTTTTGGACCACTGGTCCAAATATACTAGGTAAGCAGATAAAGAGGTCCAAATACACTAAGTAAGCAGATAAAAAGTTGTGTATATACCTTAATATCTAGCTGTTTAAATTTTGAAAGGCAATAAAACTATACTTACAAAAGTTTCAAGCAATTTGTACATTTTTCTTGTCATACAGGGATCAGTTATATGCTGCTGTTTTCAGCATTTACAAAATTGCACAAAATATAGTAATACCTACATTTAACATTTAACTGCTAATTAACAGTTTACTTCCAGAAAGGAATGAAGTTATACACTTTCTTATTGCTTATAGAGAAGGTTTAAAACTCAAGAAACATTTTGTTTCCCATTTTCGTGTTTAAGGCTTTTGTGTTTGAGGGAGGAGAAGAGGAAAGACTGAATTTTTAAAGTTTGATTTTGCCTTATTTTTTTTCTAAGAGACAGTATGCATGACTGCAGAACAGACAGGATCACCAATACTATACGTGAGAATGAATAAAATAAGAGGGTGTTTATTTTTAAAATCATGGTGACATCTCACAATATGCCTAAGCCAACAGAAAATTAGTCTGTGAATCAAAGAAGTACTGGTTTACTGAAGGGTCAGATAAGCAGCAATACTAAAGCATGGAGGGTGGCAGGAAAGTGAAGAAGCGATAGCAGACCACTGAGGCTCCCTTTTCCTTTCCAGGGAAGGAAGTGCTAAACCAGCATGGTTATCTTATCTAATCTCACTCTCAAAAGTGCTATTTAAAATCTCTGTCTTTCAGCTAACAGAGGGAAGTCTCTCCCTTTCATATCTGAGATCATCGGTACCAGGAAAGAACAAGCACTCACATATATCTGAAGTTCAGGTACTTCCCTGACTTTTGCCAGCCCATACATTTTCTCTCCAAAATAGATCTTCATCAGACAACATAACAGGCCAAAAATTAAGCTAGATAGACAACAACCATAGCCACATCACAGCAACTTTGTCAATTAAAACAACCACTTAAACTCAACATTTACATAAACTGGGTTGAAGCCAAACCTTTAATTGAGAATTCTCCCCTGTGTTTAATACTATAAGGGGAAAAACTTGGTCTTGTTGCCAGTCTTAGAAGCACTGGTACTAGATGATTAGAAAGAGACATGGAGTGTGGAAAGAGGAAAGGATCATGTGTTTTTCTTTTGATGGCAAATACAGTGTCATGAGAGCCTCCAATCTACCCAAACATGACACTCTCAAATAGCAGGGTTGTGAACAGTAACTACAACTCCATCTTCTTTGTCAAAAGGCCTGGCTCTTTCATCAACTGAAGCTGTAACACCCAACCACTTCAGTTATTTCAGAAGGTGCTACATATTGTAACATTGTCTTGTAGGAACAGAATAAATAGGAATTTGTGACATCAGAAAAGAGACCATTAAAAGCCTTTACGTGGGTTTAGTGCCACTTTCTGCAAATTCAGCAATAACAGGTTTTGCTTTCATCCACTTTCTTTAAAAAAGAAAAAAATAATTGAGTGTGAGATGTGTAGATAGGAGGAAGTTGTCAACATTAAGGCCAGCATTTCAGCAAGGCAGGAAATGTATTCAGATAAATCACTAAATTCTTGCCCGTATCGCTCCCCTGAAAAAGAAAAGTGTTGGCACTGTTCAATCTTAAGCACATACAACACAAAGTTAACTGTCTTCTGCAAAGGAAAACGTTAAGATGTCAGCTTGAAAAGTCAAACTGTCTGTCTCAGAACATGCATATAGCTAGTAGGCAAATAACCACCACTTATTCCTAACAGAGTAACCGTAATTGTAGTAAGAGCTAAAATAATTTTCTTCTTTAATCCAAGCTTGAAATGAGAAACAACACTATATGCAAAATACTGAAATGAATTATCCAAGGCATGATCCCTTAATGCAAATGAACACCTACACCCATCACTCTGACCATTCCTTTAGACAAAGCACAAACTACAGAATTGGGCAAGGCTTCAAGGAAAGGCTTCTCCAAAGTGCCTTTGGGAATTCAGCAAATGCTTGCCATGCAAACTATCATATGTGTTGTAAATATTACAGTGGGCTGAAACCAGCTACCACAGGTCATTTACAATTCCTCCAGTTTACTATCATAAACAGAATGTGGCTTTTCCTTCAGATCAGCTAGAAAAAGTGTGATTGTGCTTCCAGGTGACAAATAGGAATAAGTATGTCATTAATGATCATTTCAGGATTGATATCTCAGAAAGCGGCACAACAGTGATTTTCCCAAACAGCTTGAAGAAAGAATATTCCAGTTCTGTTCCTCTGCATCATACACTGATGATGCAGAAGAACCACCAGAAACTGACAGCTCACTTCTTTGTCTGTTGACCACAAGAGTTTTTCAGTTTTGCACATGGCCTTCAAGGCATCCTGATATGAGAAGAAAAACAGTAAAAATTTTTTATGGCCTAGTCATCATGAGAAAAATGAAGCAACAACTGAATTTCCAGATGAGATAATCTGAACAAACAAAAAAAAGTTCCATTTTTCATACCATCTACTTATTTCAAAACAAATGTACTCTCAGTTACTAGGCTGTTCTTTTCTCTAACAGTACTTATGCAGATTTATTTGGACAAACCAAACAGAATACCACACAAAAATTGATGCCTTGTTTTCATCTACAGCATCATTATGCTCTTTCCTGTAATGCTACCTGAATACAGGCATGTAATGACAGACAATAACTTCAAAACGTGCTACTGGAAACATATTAAAGTGAAGTGGGTTCAGAATGAAAAGGGGAAAAAAAAACCCAAACAAACAGGCAACTTGAAGTCACTAGGTTTAATCCAAGACCATTTTAATGACATAAGAAGGTGGGCAACTATTTACATAAGAAAAATAAAATAGAACCCCAAGTTCACAGTCATTTTTGGTAAAGATGCATACAAATTTCCATTCATTGTGTAATGCACATCACTAAAGATTTTCAAACCTTGACTAGACAGGGCCCTGTGCAACGTGATCTAGCTTTGAGATTTGCCCTCCTCTGAGGAGAATGTTGGTCTAGGACCCTCAGAGGTCCCTAATAATCTAAAATATTCTATGATTGCTTAATTCCACAGTTTCATTTTCAGTTTGTGTGACCCACTGAAATGATAGTATAGAAAGCTTGCAATCTGGCAGGGAAATAGCCTCTGAGGAGAATGAGGACCCTGGACCCTCAGAGGTCCCTAATAATCTAAAATATTCTATGATTGCTTAATTTTCATTTTCAGAGATGAGATGAGATGAGATGAGATGAGATGAGATGAGATGGCTTTTACATTTTCCATTTTGTCTTTGTGGTGACAAAAAAATCATTTATCTTCATAAAAAACTCATTTCCAGAAACTATCTTGCCAAGCTCAAACACACAGCTAAGGAAAACAAGACCTTTATGCTCCTACCACAGTCAAAACACTGTAAAAGCAAACAGCAAGTAGAACTCTGCCAGCCCTTACGTCTTTATCCAGGCATTTCTATATGAAAAACTATTTGGCTTCAGCAGTCTGTCTAACCTTGTAAGGGTCTCACAAATTCCAGTTGCTTCTACCCTGACAGACAAATGCTGAAGAATTTATTCTTCCTAATTCTTACAGCCTGAAAGTATTTGTAAAATATACTCCAAATTCAAGGATCTCTGTATGTGCTTTATTACACACTCAAACGTTTAGGAAATGCTTAGCAGATGACTATGATAAAGTCATACACATTAACCTAGATGCTATCCGTATTACTGGCTGATAAAGAAGCTGAGTTGTGGCGTTGAAGCAGATGACCCCAAGAGGCCCCTTCCAACCTTTCTGTGATTAACAGCAGCATTGTGCAGCTTACTGACAGAACTAGGAGGAGGCTTGGGAGACAGCATTCTTGGGAGACAGCATCATAACTGTCATGTTCTAAATTTAAGTGCTCACTTTCTCAGGATTCTCTAAGCACAATTATTTAATTGATTTGTGAGTATAGCTAACTTTAAGAAAGTGTACTTGTGGTGGGTTAATCTTGGCTGGCTGCCCTCTCACTCCCCCTCCTCAACAGGACAAGGGGGAGAAAATAGGATGAAAAAGCTTGTGGGTTGACATAAAGACAGGGAGATCACT